CTGTTCTCCCACATAAATAACAGATTGTGTCCCAGTTGGATGGGATAGTCACTATTAAAGTCCCCATATATAAAAAAGGAGTTAAGGGTGACCCAAAAAATTATAGATCTATAAGCCTTACTGGAATTGTGGCTAAGATGTATGCAAAACACCTTTTGAGTAAAATAGAAGACTGGGTAATGGGAAAAAAAATCTCTTAATGGAGGAACAAGCTGGATTTAGATCAGAGCATTCCACAGTAGACAATTGTTTTATTTTATACCATCTCATAGCAAAACAAGTAATTAAAGGCAAGAAACTGTTTACTGCCTTCTTAGTGGAGCTTTTAATTCCATAAACAGAAATATTCTGTGGAAGAAATTGGCCACCTTAAATATGGAACCCAGACTTTTACTCCTGGTTAAGGCCCTCTACTCAAAACACCCACTTGAAAGTGTAAATGGTTCTCTAACTCAGAGTATACCTACCCCTAAAGGTGTTAGGGCTGTATTCTAGCCCCAATGCTTTTTATCAACAATATTCCAGGATTCCTGTATGCTTCAGACACTCATATGCCAAAGATCCATTAAGAGTCGCCCTCCAGGGAGATGGGCAGCATACAAATTAAATAAATAAATAAATAAATATTTATTCTTTTATATGCTGGCAATATGGTGCATTCTCAAATAGGCCTGTTGCGAAAGCTAAATATTTACTGCATTCTCAATTCTCTAAACATCAATAAAACCAAATCTAAAGTGATGGTATTTAGCAAAAAAAAGTGTGAAATATAACTGGCAGCTGGATGGGGGGCCTGTTGAACAAGTAAATTCTTTCACCTATGTAGGAATGGCCCTTACCAGCACAGGGTTGTGGGCAAATCATTTTAAAAGAAGCTTGGTGAGGGCTGAAGCAAGTACCAAAAATTATATAAAGTATTTAATTACAATTACACAGGTCCCTTGACTGCCATATTGGAAGTATTTATGGCAAAAATAGTCCCAATGCTGACCTTTGGTGTGGAACTGTGGGGCCTTCAAAAGCTACCTCACTTGAACAAGTTCAGACCTGGTTTTTAAGAAGTATATTGGAAATCTTTTTTTTTTTTTTTACTTTTTAATATGACTGTTTGACATGTTTATTATTTTATATTTTTTTGCTGTATGCTGCCCAGAGTCACTTCTTGTGAGATAGGCAGCCATATAAATTTGATGAATAAATAAATAAACTGACAAGAACGTGTCAGTCCCTGCGGTCAGAGTAGAAACAGATATGCATTCCATACATAGCCACTCAACAATCAAAGATAGGCTACCTAAAATATGTTTTGTTGAACAAATAAGTATGGCTCAGCCCACCTCCTGGATAAGCCAACTTGCCAAAGTTATTTTACATCAAGGTTTTTCCACCCAATATTTACTCTCCACTGCCTCCCAGGCAAAGGAAATTTTTAAACAAAAAGTCCTAGATATCAGTGCCCACACAGACATGGAGTTATTGGCAAAAAATAGATCTTTAAATTGATTGGCTAAGAACAGAACCACTTTCTCAAACCGAAAAATGCCTGTCAATGAGTTTGATGCAGTTCCTAAGAAGGGCCTGTTCCAGAGTGAGATTGGAGTTGTTGGATTCCATGGCCAAATATGGGCGCTTCCATCACTTGCCACATCATGGGAGGATGTGTATATGTCATGCTCCAGCCATCAAAGATATTGCTCATGTTTTGTTTGATTGTCAACTGTTTAGATATTTTAAATTCCTACTTGAAAGAAGAGCCCACTGGGACCTGAATTGCAGATTGTCCTATTTCGTCCTGGGCTCTAACGTATACATTGTGAGCAGAACTGCTAAGTTTATAGACAGAGCAGTTTAGCTGAGAATCTGTTATACTAAACAGACAGGGGTATCATGCAAAAGCAATGTATTTATCTGAACATTGATTCTGTGTATTTAGCATATATGTATTTTATTATTGTATCTTTCACCTATTTTATCCTGGAAATAGACCTTGTATTTTGCTTTTATTTTCTTTGCTGTGGTCATAAGACTAATCAATCAATAAAATGTCTATCTATCCCACTCAGGGAGGCACTAATCATCTCCCACAACCATAGGGTCAGTCCCAACCTGGTCAGTTTTTAATCAGCTAAGAAAGGCTTAAGCAAGCAAATAGTGGATCTTACCTGTCTACAAAGCCTCTCCATATGCTCACAACAACACACTGAAAACAATCCACATGAACACAAATACATTAGCTCACAGAATACCCATGAAAGTATATTTCTGGTTGATGAAAAAGAAGATTTGCCTTATATGGTAGTCCCCGGGTTAAGAATGCCCGGTTTATGGATGACCTATAGTTAAGAACAGAGCCTATTGTAGCAAAATTCAAGTTAAATACACAGTGATTCAAGTTAAATACACAATGGTTCAAGTTCATTACACAATACTATGTATACAGTACTATACAATAATACTGTTCCGGCTTACATACTAATTCAATTTAAGGAAAGACCTTGGGAATGGAACTTGTTCTTAAACTGGGGACTACCTGTAATGCAAACTCCAATCTGGGAAATTAAAACTCCCATCTCTGAATGAAAAATAGGGAGGAGTGGGATGGGAGAGAGAGTTCCTTCAAAGGAACTTCCAAAATAATTCAGTAAACCTCTGAGAATACATTTTAGGAATGTATAAAAGAACAACATGAATGCTATAAATAAGCTACGCTTATTTATTCCTTTCCTCTTAATATTAAAATTAAATTTAATATTTCCCTAACTGCTCAGTTTAAATGAAGCCCTTCCATTCTGTCATAATATTTTGCTATTTTCAATACAGGCATATTTAAATTCTATTGAGTCACCTGATGTATCTCTCTACATCCCCCAGCTTAAGGCAAGTGATAGTTTTTGGATATAGCAAAACCTCAGTTTAAAGGGTTTTGAATACAATGGATAATTTTCCCTGGAACCTCTCCCTCATTATGTTTATTTTAATTGAAGGTTTGTCCACTAATTAATGTTTTACTGAAAATGTTATAAATTGAAGCAAATAATGCAAATGTGTATTTAATGGGTGCAGCTTCCCCTGCAAATGGTCCATTAAATTGAGACTTACTGTACTTTCAAAATGTTTTAAAAGAAACTGATTTTGACCATATAGCAGCTCCCAAAGACATCATTTCAGATTTAGACAAATTATATGCAATATTATTTGTTAAATTTATAGCCTCCCTTTCCTTCAGGAACTCAGGGCAGTGTCCAGGCTTTTTTTTGGGCAGCAGTTCATATAGTAGGCTGGTCTGAGAGAGATTGACTCCCTCAAAGTCACCCAGAGGTGCCTGGGCTGACAGTACTGCACCTGGGTCTCCCCAGTCCTAATCTGACACTTAACACTGGCTACCAGTAGTAACATCTCACACATACCTGCACAGCTCATCTGGAGAGCATTTCCCATCGTCTGAGCATCCGTGTATGGACCGTGAACTTCCTGAGCCAGAATTCTTTTCTGCTTTTCCGTGGAGGACATACAGGGCTCCAGTGTAGCTATTCTCTCACTTCCTTCTCAGTGCCCAAGTCCTCAACTGAAGACCTTCACCTCTGGGACTTCTGAGCAGAAACCATCTGTTGTGAGCCAGTCCCATTGCTTACCATATGCAACAGTTCATAGTAAAGGAAACATTTCAGGGCAAATGCAGGAAAAAGCGTATCATGTAATTCAGTATGCTTGTTGCATAATCAGTTAATAATAAAATTAAATGGTCCCATCCATGAGAAAATGCTGCTCACTCCTCTTGTGCTCCCCCTAAAAAGTTGAGATGGTGGGTTCTGTGCCCATCCCTCTGCTTGTGAGCTGGGTAACGGGAAGCATTTCCGACAAGATGGCTTATTCCTTTTCCTTGCTCACTCCTGCCTTAAATGTGCATACTTACATGCATACCCACATGGAAAGATAAGTTGTATATGTTATTTATCAAGGTGTAATTAACATAAAACCTGCATGTTATCCATGTGCTCAACTTCTCTACCTTCCCAATTTAAAAATGGAGTATCTTAGGACTGATGGGGTGTTTAAATATATGTCTTCTCCTTACAGCTTTTCTACAGGAGCTTCCATTCCTCCTGTAAACTCTGTGCTTGCTTGCTTCTGTAGAGGGCGAGGAAGAGACGCTGCGAACATCTGTTGGGAGTGGGAGGCTTGTTAAATTCCTGAACTTTGCAGGAGGTGGCTAGCTATTTATAGCAGTCACAGTTTGAAGCTTTGATGTGTCTTCCTCATTTTCTTAAATGTGCTGCTGGGTTTATTTGCGAGCTTGTGGTCCTGTTAGGTGTTTCTCTTGCATCCTGAAGCAGAATGTCTGTCGGAAACGCATATTAATGAGAGAGAAAGAGAGAGAGAGACGGATGTAGCTGTATGACATAATCTCTTACCAAAGGGCTATGTGTGTGCTTATTAAGTAAGAACTGCCCTGGTGTTGTTGGTTTGTAGAATTTGGTGGAATCCTGTGCTTCCTCATGACTGGGAGTGCCTGTGTGTGTCTGTGTAGAAAGGGTGTCCTGTGATTTATTGATTGATTGATAATGTGCCATATGTAATGTATGTAATATACTAATATAGTAAGGGGTGTTTCAACTTCCCTCATTATCTCTTACACATATAACATTACAGAATTGCTAGGGGTGTGATGGAGATTTCAGCATGGCATTCTTCCTACATCTTCTTTCCCACCACATCCATTCGGAGCCTGTAAATAACCTGTTTGCAGTTACAGTACATGACAGCTTGGATACCAACATGGTTTCACCAGCACAAATGCACTTTGGAGTGATCCTTTCATTATCTAGTAGGCCTAACTTGAGGATTCCCTATTTACCAATAAGCTGTTTACATCACTGTAACAATGATAAACCTAGTGTAGCTTAGAGAATATTCATAACCCAGCAGTGTGGTGTATGTTTTTAAAAAGTATAATATAATGTAAGTTAATGGCATTCTCCTTTTTTAAAACACTTTTACAGAGAGGATCCAGATTTGCCTGTGTCTAAACCAGGACCTTTTGGTGCGATGACTTCAGGTAAGTATGACTTCCTTTTGGTTCTAAAACGCTAGGAAAAACAGCTGCAAGAATGTGTCGATCAGCACATTCATTTGCAAAATTAGTAGAAGACATTTCTCCTGCTTCACCTTAGACTTTGAGTTGTATGTTATGTGATTCATGACAAATATATAAAGCTTTTCTTATTTTCAGTAGTAAGAAAACACAGTTGGAGGAAGGTGCTTCCAGTGTACAGCTGTTTTGGCCAGAGGTCCCTATTACTACAGTGGCACCTCAAGGGGGAAACAGCAGTCTGTATTTCATTGACATACGGCCAGATGAAACAAAGGGAAACAGCAGTCAGAATGGGATAGTGTTCAATACGAAACTGGTATAGGCCACAGACCAGTTCAGAAGCACATTACAGATTTTAGTCCTCTGGCTGATCCTCCAATCCCCAGGCCCAGGCTTGTAACCTCCGAGCAGAGAATCCAGTGATGGAAACCAGGAGCACCACTGGCCTCCCAAATCAACTGTTTCCAATGCCATGGAAAGTCTGATTTTAAAAAGAATACAAGGAAATGTGCTGGGGAAAGAGAGAGACTTAGCATCTCTTTTCCCTCTTTTCCACTCTTCCAGGAGGACCCAGCAGGCATTAAGGTCCTGGCGGGTTTGTCCAGGACAATAGGAGAACAGCTTTGCCCAGCAAGCATTTTAGAAATGTGAACAACATAGAGAGTCATTCAGCTCCTTTATTCCTTTCAGTTATTGTGCGTTAATGTTGCTATGGAACTGAAAATAAAGGTGGCATTAAAAAACATTCAACAAATGTTGCAGTTAGGTGCTCCATTAGCAGGTTTAATAAAAGGGCATATTAGGGAGAGAAATTGAGCTGACAGCAGGTAAGAGGGCATTAGAAATTGCTAGTTTCCAACCAAACAACGCTGAAGATGAAAGATCTGTTAATTGTTCTGCTCAGCATGGTTAATATTTAGCTCATTAGTGGACCAGGAGCTGGTATGGTGACTTCACTAGCCATTTTCCATATTATTAAGAAGGCTCAAACTTACTTATTTACATATTCTTTTCTGGCTAAATGATTTATTTGTTGGAAAGCATTGTTATTGTTTGAACTCCTTGCAGGAGTTTCATTTTTTAATGCATTTTTAATGCAGATGAACTGAGAAGCATGGTTAAGCAGTGTAGTCTTGAGAATATAATGAATGATAAACCATTGTTCTGTTACAAGGAACATTGGAAGAATGAGGACTGAAGATTCTTTAAAAACTGTTTGGTTTGATGAACATTTTTGTATAGAACAAGATTCATATGAGTCATGTGTGTAATGGCTAAAAATATCTATTTGCACAGATACGTAATAAAAATTACAAAGTAGAGAGAGTCAAAAGATAGCATCTTCCAAAAAAGAAATGTTGGAAGTCTTGACCCATTGGCAGAATATAGGTAGTCCTCATTTAACTATGGTAATTGGGGCTGGCAACTCCGTTGCTAAGCAATGCAGTCATAAAGCATGGCATCACATGACCATGCTGAGTTATAATGGCAGTTGTGGCAGTTCCAGTTGTTGTCATTAGGTGAATCCTGTGTGGTCGCAGCGTCCCGCAGTCATATGATCACCATTTGCGACCTGCTGGCTTCCCCAATGACTTTGCTTGTCAGAAGTTGGCAGTGAGGGTCGCAAATGGTGATCACGTGTCTGCGGGTCATTGTGATCATTGTAATTGTGAGCTGGTTGCCAGGTGTCCGAATCACAATCATGAGACTGTGGGGATGCTGCGACAGCCACAGCTGTAAGGACTGGTCATAAGTCTCCTAATTCAGCACCGTCATAACTTTGAACGGTCACTGAATGAGTGGTCACTGAATGAGGGCTAATTTGAATTCACAAAATGGGTGCTAATCTCCCTTCCCAAGATAGACACTTCCAGAGCATAAGTGTGGCCATTGAGAAGGCCTTTTCTCTTGTCCCATGCCCCGGATGAAGCATTTTACATCTTGCATTAGGAGCTGTCCTGAAGCTGTGTAACAGAATTCAAATGTACAAGCACAGGATTGGAAGACTTGTGAGGGGTGCTAGTAGAGTGCCACCTGAACATGAGCAAGGAATATGATGCATTAGCTAAAAAAGCCAATGCAGTTCGGGACTGCATTAACAGAAACATTGAAGCATTGTGTCAGGACCACAAGAAGTAATTGATCCATTGTAGTTTGCACTAGTTAGCCCATACTTGGGAGTTCTGTGTTCAGATCATGTGGTATCATGACATAAACACAAAAGAAGTGGGGCTTTCACCATTCTGGTCTTCCCAGCCCCCTGTTACTTTTCATGAACTTGATAGCTCACTGTAAGCAACCGGATGATCTTCTGTTTGACCTCACAAAGTAAGTGAGAATATCTTCAGATCTTGTTTCATGCTAACCCAAGGGTATTTTGGTTCAGGCCTTACTGTCCTTTCCACATGGCATGCATAGGGTCAGATACTAATTAAGATGTGCCCATAGTTGCATGGTGGATACAAACTCCTGAGCTTCTTGTCATTGGGCACTTTTAGCATGGGCATTGAACTTCTCCAGGACAAGAGGCCTGGGTTAGGCTGCAGTCACCTCTTGAGATCGCTCCAGGTAGCTTAAGAAGGGCCATTGCTAGAGAGCAAGGGGGATTATTAGCAACAGAGATTTGTTTTATCCTGGTCTCCCTAACATTCCACATTGGCAGAATTTTGGATGGAGCACTGAGGGTATCTCTCCACTTCCCTGTTGAACCACAGAGAAACCTGGCAGACAGAGACGAGATAAGTTAACTCCCTCCTTTCCCCCATTCAGGTCTCCATGTTACATGCCAGGTTAGCATTTTCATCCAGGATTAACACTTGGATGAGAAGCTATTTTACCAGTAACCCAAGCTGACATTCATTGTAGAATAGAGAAGTCATCTTTCCTGTCACCATAATTTCTTTTGTCAGACTGGAAGTTGAAAAGAGGTGAGGCTTCTGTTCACTCCACTCCATCTATTCCTACTAGTAATCTCCTCAAGAATTGCTCCCAGAGTGTTTCCTGTTCCTTTCTCTCTGAGATAAATCCCTCAAAATCAAATGCACTAGAAATAGATGCACACACTTTCAGCACTAACCTCTTACTGCTGTCATATGCAGATACATATACCCATTCTGTGCACACATACACACATCAAAGTGGACACCCCTGCTTTCTGGACTCCCCAGAAGGTGGCAGCCTGATCTCCAGGGCTACCAGAAGTCTTGAGTCAGCCATCACAGGGTAAGTAGGAAAAGAAAACCTGATTTCAGGCGGGGAAGCCCAGGTGCTGGCATCAGGCAACCTAGGACCCCAAAAACTGGTCTGTCCCAGAGAAAAGAGTTTTGGAGAGGGACCCCAGTGGACAAATGGCAAGCTCTCCACTCACCAAGTCTTGCCCCCGGAGGACAGCAACCTTTCCTCTTCCTCAGAGACAGCTGTTACACATTCTTGAGCAGCTAGTCCAAGGCATCATTGAAGTGCTACATTTGCAAACAAATTTGTCACCAAATCTTCTTGCAGATGGCCTTTTGTATCACAGAATGTGCCAGACTTCATTATTTGAGAAATAATGTTATCATACTAAAGTTACCTGTTGAATAATGGACTTGATGAATGGATTTAGCATTTGATGGATTTGGTCACAATTTGTTGTTTGTTTGCTTTTTCTGTGACAGTTTTTTGCTGCCAATTTTTTGGCCAAATTTTAACCTTTTGCTGTATCTTTTTCATGAATAATAACATAATAAAAATGTTTAACCCCAGCAATAAGTGATTTCATTATAGGGTACATATAAATATCAAGCAGGAACATGGAGTTTAGTTTAGAATCACCATCTCTAACTAGAATGGCAACTACATAAAATTCTCTTGTCCAGTTTTCTTTTGTCATTTTGCTGTTTTTTTCTGTAGTGGGTACAGTTGCTTAGCCATTTTACTAAACTTGTTGTGAGAACATTGTACTGATCATCTGCCAATCTTTCAGAACACGAAGAAGTTGATGTTGTGAATGGACTAGCACTGAGTACCAAACAACATGAGAAAGGTGTGTTGAATCAAAACAAAGATATTTCTAGTACTTAATGTCATGAGGCAGTTGCTGCTTTTTTTATAACATTATATGCACAGCATTTATATATGCACAATTAATCTCCAAGGAAGTACTTTGAATACAGGTAGTCCCCAGTTTGAGAATGAGTTCTGTTCCCAAGGTCTGTCCTTAAGTCAAATTTGTATGTAAGCCAGAACAGTATTATTGTATAATACTGTATAAGTAGCACTGGGTAATTAACTCAAACCATTGTGTATTTAACTTGAATTTTGCTACAGTAGGCTCTTTCTTAACTATGGGTTGTCCTTAAAGTGGGTGTTAATTAAAAAAAATGAGTACAGGCAAAGTGTCCTTCAACTCGAATATGGCTTCTAACATACAGTAGAATAGTCAGGCTCTGCGATCTCCCTCCTCGTGCATCACCTGCAGCTCCCGACGCGGCCCCGACACTTCCGCTTCTGACAGACAGCAGCGGCGGCCAATCAGGCGGGCGGGCTGGATAAATGGCGCTGGCGGGCCGTATCTGGCCTGCGGGCCGTACTTTTGAGAACCCCCGCTTTAGACTAAGGAATGTTGGAGAGTTGATTAGTTAAGGATGCGTTGGACACATGACAATAAGTAAGCATAACCAAAATATTTGACAGAGACTAGAAATAGATTTCTATTATCAAAAGCCCAGAAGGTTTCCTTGAAAAATAAAAAGAAGCTAAATATGCATGATATTGATTATACATGAGAAATATGCAAAATGTTTTGAATTTGGAATTTTTCAAGCTTGAAATGCCTTGTTTTAAGCTTGTTGTGATTGGTTTAAATTTGAAATGGGTTGTTCCAGTATTTCTGGAAGTGTCCCAGCCCTGTTTTGACAATTTTGGAAGTGCTTCAAACTTGATAGAACACTTTTGATGAGATCAGAACAGCATTTTTGAATTCAGGATGGGGCATTTTGAACTCAGAAAGTTTTGCACAACACTAAATCTTACACAAAAGGTATCTGATCAATTTATTTCTGTGCCAAAGTGCTATAATAAAAATGCAGGTTAACTGCTTTGATGGGGAAAGCACTGTTGTATTCATCCACTTAAGGAGTTCAGTTGTTAAACATTACAGAGAGATTGAAGAATGGGAAGAAGTACAATCCAAACTGGCTTATATTAGATGTTCTAAAATGCAATGAAAGTATTTAATTTCCGTGCATCCTTGCTCCACTCCCCACTTTCTTAGTTTCATTGCTTCGATTTGGAAATTTGATTCTTGAAATGTTGGACTAAAACTGAGGAGTCCCATATTCAAGTCCTCACACAATTAAGGAGTATGCTTGTTGATGTTGGGCGATCAGTAGGCCTCAGTCCAACATGCCTCATTGGATTGTTGTAAGGATAAGATGGAGTGGGGTGGAGAAATAGTGGGAGAAGAGCCATCTTGAAAGAAAAGCAGACTATGAATCTGCAAAGGTACTACAGCAGTGTTTCTCAACCTTGTCAACTTGAAGACATGTGGACTTCAACTCCCAGAATTCCCCAGCCAGCCAAGGTTGAGAAACACTGTACTACAGCAATGTATTTATATGCACACAAATTTAAGCTTGGAATCAGAAATATATTAAACAGGATCATGACTAAATCAGTTTGCTTGAAGTTAATAATGAAGTATGCAAGTGTACATATCATGATTTTAAGTTTCTTTCATGTTCCAACATATTCCAACATTTTTTTCCCCTGTAGATCAGGAGTCTGCCAAAATCTGTACTGGAAAAGGAGCTGTGACCCTTTGGGCATCTCCAGCTTCTGAGAAGAGTCTAAGAGTTAGCCATCCAAAGTTTATGCAGGATGTCCAGCACACTGAAAGTAAGATCCAGTCTGGGAGATCACGTCACAGAAAAGCAAAATGACTCATTGATCCTCTGTTTCTTGATTGGGTTAACAGATAATTCCCTGGTTCAAAAAGTATAATCCCAAACGTTTACATTTTTAACTCAAGTTTGCATGCTAGGATTGGATTGCTTGATGTCTGGCTGAGTTTCAAGGATTAGAGAATATGACTGCAAATGAGCAAACATTTCAATGACACAATGCAAATTTCAGTGAAATAAAGAATGAATAGGCATTTGAGTATGAGAATAAAGCCTCAGAAATTCAAATTGTGCATTTCAAGTTTAAGTTAGGTAAATACTTGAATTCATTCATTCAGGATTAGTAAAACAACTCATTTTTAAGGTAGTGTTTTAAAATTCAGCTTATATAGGAGTTCAAGAGATTCTGTTTTCATTCTGCTGTTCTTTTGTGGGGGGAAATATCTTCTGCTTGAAAGTGGTTGTGCTATCTCACTACAATGGCATTTTGTTGTGTTCAGTTAGACAGATATATATATAATTATAGTAAACAAACTCTGAGCAAGAATATTTAAATGGGTACTGAGCAGGACGTGCCATTCTCCAGGATATTTTTGTTCTCATGATGACATAGATACATACTCATCACACTGTTCCTTTCAGGGTAAGTACCATTATACAAAGTGCAGAAAGAAGGAAGAAGTAGTAAGCAAAAAAATCGGAGGCAGGAGATAGAGAGGGAAGAAGAAAATCTAACTCAATGTAGCTTACACCAGTTCCATTCACACAACACTTCTCCTTATTTTGTAATCTTGCAAGCCATCCTTTGTTCTACAACATCTATACACATATTCATACTTTTAAAAAAATATTATAATTTTTAGTATGTAGAAAATGAGGAGAAGAAAAAAAGAAATGAAAAAAGAAAGAAAACATAGAATTATGACTTCTGCCCTTTTTCTATCAAGTTGCCATCTTATTCTTTTCCCTTCTTCTCTGACCCTTTTTAATCCCCAAATCCATAAATCATCAATTCAGTCTTTTCTTCTTTCAACAAAAAGTCCATATAAGTGTTGTGTGAATGGAACTGGTGTAATGTTGTGTGAATGGAACTGGTGTAATTCTCTGACCCTTTTTAATCCCCAAATCCATAAATCATCAATTCAGTCTTTTCTTCTTTCAACAAAAAGTCCATATAAGGCTTCTAGCACATATTTGTACTTTTTGTTTCTTTTTCTCTCTTTTTTTAGACCATCCAACTACCATCCAACTACTAGTTTCTTGGTCTTTTCCTTCTGTTCATGCTATTCACTCTTCATTAATTTCTTTTGTTTTGCAATTGGATCTTCATTTGTTGTCCCTGTATGACCAAGCACTTCAGTGTACTTCTTTTGTACTTCTTTCATATTAGTTACTCACTTGTGTTTTATCCATTCTTGGCCTGTTGCTTCTTGTTTTGCCACACATTTTTCTTAAGTAAGCTATACCCACCACATTCATCTTTCATGTTCATACCCAACTTTCATCACCATATAACAAAGTGTGAATGTTGGATAATATGCATTTCATGGCAAAAGGTAGCATGGGACCTCATACTACCCACGCTACCTTTTCTAACAGAATTTGAAAAACAGAAATTAACATTTCTCAGTTTTCCCATCTTCAGTAAACATTGTACCATGGTAATAATTTATTTGCTCTCATTTTCACCATTTATGTATAACTTGCAATTGTTCACTCCGGTGTTACTGTCAAGTGCAACTGCCTTGGGCTTCAGTACATTAATTACAAGTTCATAATCCTTGTTGCACTGTACCCGCTGTCCTACCATCTATTTGCTGCAAATCATTCAGGTTCTTGGCCAAGAACACAGCATCATCTGCACAGAGAAGTACACACATTCGTGTCTCAACCAGTATGCCGTTAACATTACCACAACCATTCTGTGTGCATTTTTCCATAAATAATATCCAAGGGAAAGCACACATCCTTGTTTTACTCCCTGCTCAGTGCTGAATCATTTGCTAAGCATTCCATTTATTCTCATGCACACTTTACTTCCACTGTATACTATTCTTGCTGTAATTATCTTCCATCTTCCTGTCTCAAGGCCCTCTTTCATAGCCCTTTCATATTCCTCTGTTATTTCTACAGACTTACTTCTGCTACACCCAGTAAAGCGTTCATATTAGGGTTCATTACCTTACCTTTAGTGCTGATGAAGGGGGTAGATAGATATAGATATAGGTATAGATATAGATATAGATAACATTTCTGCATCTGTTATGACTCCACAGCTGAATCAATAGGCCACATTTTTTTCACTGCTCCCTCTTTCACACTGGGGGAGCAGAATTCATAACCCTTCCTTACTTATTATGTAGACTGATTGGAAACTGAAGTTATTTGATTTTTGCTTGCTGATTTCTCCACTGGTAGCATTTTGCTAAATTGCCATTGGTCTTAGAAGGTTCTGAGCGCTGAAGTTCAGTATGTGCATTTATTCTATATTTATAGAGAAATATTAGAATATTATTACTAATTTCCTTCTGTTGTCTTCTCCTTGTGCTGTTTTTTGGTCTCTAGCCATGAATTAATAGAGTTAAAAGTCTTATTCCCTGACTGTTGTGATGCCTTCTCATAGTTAGCAGTGGCCCTGGCAAGTCTTTTTGACTCTGCCAGCTACCACATAGCTGCTGAGGACAATAACATGCTATGACAGCCTCTGCCCGTCCCATAATCATAATTCTCCCTAGGCATCTTGTAATGTAGGAAATGGATTTTTCAACCATGGCACTGACATACACAGTGTGTACTGTTAGAAGTATTTAGCCATCTGTTTTAATTATAGTAAGAATAGTAAAGAATAACAGAAGTGTGAGGTTTTCTACTCTGCTCCTTTAGGACAGCACCAAGTAGCTGAATTCCAGCTAAGGATCTGCCATCTCCCAGAATCACAGTGCCTTAGTTCCAGTACAAATAAATGAAATATAGACACACACACACACACACATACACACACAGTACCCTTGATTTAAATGACTCATAGAGGAAAGGGAATCTGTTAAAGCAGAACATCTGTTAAATCTGAATGGGATTTTATGCATGCATATGCATTTGTAAAATGGGAATGGAATTTTATCCGTGAAGATGTAATTTATTTTATTTTATTCATGCATGAAAGGGCAAATGAAATTTTATTTATGCACAAAAGCTTATAGAGTATGGACATATTGTGTCTGTTGTGTCCAAAGTCTGCTAAAACTTCAGCCATCTGTTGTGACTCCACAGCTGAATCAGTAGGCCACATTTTCTTTACTGCCTCCTTTATCACACAGTTCTGTTAAATTGTTAACTGTATGCAGAGTTGGACAGACAGTAGAGAAAAATTCTTGCTATTATATCTTTTTTGTGGGCTTCCTTCTAAGTCAGGTGCTAAACTGGAGAGGACTGGTCATAAACTTGTCTGAAATCTAGTTTAGAGCTTGATTGTGGACTCTGCACATGCTGTTACACATAATGGTGTTTCAGGTAATCGAAGGACATTAATATTATCCTCACAAGAATCCACTGAAGACATCTCTTTTCTTTCCTCTCTTCTTCTTCCTTATGCTTCTTTCAAATTCCATTTCCAGCACCCCTAGGGATGAGAGACAGGTGCCTCCTCTCTGCCCCCCAACCCAGTTTTTGCCTTCTCTTCATTGCCTGCCCCAAATCAGCAGCAACAGTGTAGTTTACTGATGAGTTTAATTGACAAACCCCTTAAAATAGTCTCTGTAAGGTTTAAAGTGAAGAGAAATAGAAATGAAGATGGTGTGAATCTAAGACTCACAGACTAATTTTACTGTACATTAAGTTCAGCCGTATTTTTGAACCAGTCTGTTTACTTTGTAAAATGTACATTTTCATCCTTGCAAATGCCCCCCTTAATGGTTTGGAACAATTTATCTTAAGGAAACAATTATTGGGCAACAGAACAATAGTACTGTATAAATGTATTGGTAGGTACTGCCTTTGCTGTTAAAGGTTTCATGACCTTCTAAACTTTTTGGAATAATCTAGTTAATGTTGGGGGGGGGGATGAAGAATGTCTATTTATTTAAGCTGTAAATTATTAATATCCACACTCTGCTACATATGTGGCTGTGGGTATCCTATCTGCCTTTGACCCTCTTTTGAGGGCATGACATAAAATCAGCTGTTGGTCAGTGGTCCAGAAAAGTTGATCACTCTTAATTTTCAGGTTCGTCACTTCATGCTGCTGCTAGTTGGCCTTTTTTTCCATGCTGTTTCTATACATTTCCAATAACCCAAAGGAAACGTTTCCTACTACAGAAATGGCTTTATTGTGCTGATTCTCTTAGTCGTGTTTTGAAAAATGTGTTGCTGAGCTAGGGAGGTGATTTTTCTCCTGTATTGGGAGGGATGGGGAAAATAAGGGGCACCAAAATCAAATTTAGAAAAATGTTGGAAGGAGTAAATAAGAGTCATAAACTTGCCTGAAATCTAATTAAGAAATCTGCAATGCTGTGATAAAATTTCTAGCCCTGAAAGAAAAGTTTGTGGATTTCACTTTTATGATTTCAGAGCAATATAAATAAGGCAAGTGTTTAAAGTGTCAACACTGTGCTTCATGTTCTTGTTGGGCTCCCACAAAGATAGCACGTGATATATCGGTGCTTCTAAATGCACTTGTTTGTTTGTAGCCCTCTATCAGCTTATCTGGCAAGACTAACGAAGGACAGATATATTTTCCGCTCCCTGCCTGCATCATAGGTTAAATACTGAAATCTTCCATTTGCAGTGATGTGTGGCATTTGAAATTCTTACTGAGAACTCTGGATGCCTTTTTATATGCTAGAATGAAATGTCAGTGGACAATTGTTTCTTCACTACTCTGAACTATGGCTTTGTGCTTGTAAAGGTCAGGCGTTGCAAAGGAGTCATGTTTCTATGGGAATTAGGCAGCCTTGCTGGAAAGTGTTCCATGGGCAAAATGAAGTAGTCCACTTTTTTACTCTTCTATAATGTATTAAAAGATGATGTCTCTTCCCCTTTCTTATTCTCTCTGATACTTGTTACCAGTTCCTTCGGTCGAAGAGCAGGGAGGAACCAACGCAGGTAATTATTAAAGCTTCAGTTTTTACTGTTTCCTCAAAGTATCTGTTGTTTATGCAAGCAGAAATCTTCACCTTTAAGTATTGTTTAAGTGATCTGAAAGTCTTTATTTTGCAGATGGCTGGAGAAGACTTTCTGGTCTTGACTCAAATAGGGAGATTCTGTCTGTGAAGGATTACTGGAGTGTGAGACCAAACTTCTCTGAGAGCAAACCACATGTAAGTAACTAATAGAAAGCCTAGGTGGGTGTGAATAATGAGACGTGCATGTGTTATCTTCTTAGATGTGCCTCTGACTTGTAATTTTAGTAATTTACATTAATAACATAAAATGTGGGAGCAACACCCAAGGAATATTACTTTTTAAAATTGGCATTTAAAAAACTGAACAGGAGGTTGTTTCTTGGTTGGTTTGTTTTCATTATTTAGTGTTTCTAAAGTGATTTGATAACAGTTGTCAATCAAATGTATCAGGCATGAACTCAGTTAGGAATCCCTTCTGTACTGGGAACTTGGTCCACTGTATTCTAGGTTGAGCTGGAATAAGGACAAGAATAAACTTATGATTTGCATACTTTCCAAAGTATACCTCCTGGGAGTCATAATCTTAATCATCTTAATAACATATAGGAAGGCTGTGCCCATCCTCTTTCTTTCCTTCACTATCTCCCAATCGTTAACCTTCTTCTAGTCTAATTACACTGTTACTGTGATCAAGTTTAGGCAATTAGCTTCTACATCTGAGTCTTGATAATTCAGTGATTGTGTGGCCAATTCTATTTGAATCTTTTCCCTTACATATTTATGTATTTTTTTGTTTAGACATCTAAATTTCTCTTGGCTTGTTTAGATTTGGTAATAGAAGTATTAATTTATGAGATAGGAATGAAAAATAGCTTGAACTGGATGTAATTCTATTTTAGATTCCTTGGGAGGAGCCATAGTTTATCACATTCAGATTTGAGATTCACTTTTAATCAGATACATCTAACTTTGTTAAGGCATCCTTGGTTTTTCAGCTAGTTGTTATGAAAGCATTTTGCACTCTATTACATAGAATAATAGAATCCTTGGGTTGGAAAGAACCCTGGTACAACCCTTCAAGGGCAGAAATCCTCAGACCACCCTAGACAAATGGCTGTCTAACCTCTGCTTGGAAACTCATGGGTTGGAGCACCCATGACTCCAGGGGTCTGTTCCATTGCTTAATAGATCTCAGGGTCAGGAAATTCCTCCTTATTTCATGTTTGGATGACTGTCTGTAAAGCTTCTTATTGTACCCTTGGGCACTACAGAGAGTATATTTACAACTTCTTCCTGTGATAGCCTTTCAGTGTCTCTCCTTAGCTTTCTTTTCTTTAGGCAAAACATACGTAGTTCCTTTAACTGTTCTTCATGGGATTTAGCCTCCAAGCCCCTTACTATCTTACTTCTTCTTCTCTGCACTCTTTCTAGTTCCTCAGCATCTTTCGGGTATTGTGGCACAAAAACTGGACACAGTATTCCAGGAGCAGTTTGACTAGTGCAGCATAGAACAGAACTATCATGACCCATGATCACACTGTTTATAACTCTGTTGATGCAACCCAAGATTGCATTGGCTTTTTTGGCAGTTGTAACACACTGCTGGCTAATGCTTAATCTGTGGTCTACCAGGACACTCAGATGTTTCTCACAAGTACTACTGCTTAGCCAGGTTCTGCCTATGCTTGTACCTGTGCAACTGGTCTTTCCAACCTAAGTGCAGAACCTCACATTTCTCTCCACTGAACAGTATTTGTGTGGATAGAGCCCAATGTTCAAGTCTGTTTAGATCCCTTGGAACCATGAGTCTGTCTTTTAAGGTGTCAGCAATCCCCCAACTCTGTGTCCTCTGCAGATTTGATGAACATCATTTCTATCCCCCCATCTAAGTCATTTATAAAAAAGTTGAAGAGCACTAGGCTCAGGACAGAATCCCTCCAGGCTTTGTTTAAATGCCTCCAGTGAAGGAAAGTCCACCCTCTCCTGAGGGTTTCATTATAGAATAGCTTTTACTGTTACAACATTTTTATGAAATCTCTTTCCTTGTACCTTAAGTCCATAGTTTCTTAGTCTGCTTCTGGAACAATTTTGTATCTCCATAACAGCTCTTCAGATACTTGAAGCCAGCATCATGTTTCCTTGCTGTCTAAATATACCCAGTACTTCCAACCATTCCTCTTAAGTTTTTCCTTCCTGCCTCTTATCATATTGGTTGCTGTCCTCTAGGCTGGCCTTTCTAAATTGTACCCAGAACTGGGCACAATATTCTGGGTAACTTGTAATCATCACAGAATAGAGAAAAATGTTGGTTTATCTTAACCCAGAACTGGGCACAATATTCTGGGTAACTTGTAATCATCACAGAATAGAGAAAAATGTTGGTTTATCTTAACCCAGAACTGGGCACAATATTCTGGGTAACTTGTAATCATCACAGAATAGAGAAAAATGTTGGTTTATCTTAATCCTGACGTATTTCTGTTGTTGCATTTGCAGGTACTATTGGCTTATGTTAGCTTCTGATCCTCCACAATGCCTACATCCTTTTTGCATGTACTTCTACCCAGTATGTCCTCCCTATCCTATAGTCATGCCTCTGATTTTTCCTATATAGATGTAGGGCTTTGTATTTGTTCCTGTTGAAATTAATCTTGGTAGTTTCTGCCCATTTTTCCAGCTTGTCAAGATTCTCCTGAATCCTAATACTGTCCTAAAATGGCTTGCTGAAATTGGCTGTTCTGAAATCTAGTGCACAAGTATGACTATCCTCCAGTTTCTCTTTCTCTAATACTTTGAACCCCAAGATGGTGTGGTGACTTCCTCCCAAACTTCCCACCACTTCTTTCTCCCCTTCTGGATCTTAAAGAGCCTTGTCTCTTTTTCAGCCTTTTCGTCTGCTTGTTCTATAGCAACATAATTACAAATACTATCATTTTTATTGAACTTCCCTCTAGAATGAACATCTTAATGATTTACAATTTAAAACAGTATTTATGAACCTTGATCAAACTGCTGATTGATGGCTAGTCTCTTAAATCCAAGGTCTGGGTATCAAGAGTTTCCATTTACTCTCAGAACCTGAGATAAAAAGATGCAGAAAGTTACGTTTTATCCAGGAAAAGGAAGAACGAAGCCCTTAAAAAAAGGGGTGGCACCTACACAAGAATCCATCCCCTCTAGGCATGCCACATAGCCAAGAGAAGAGGTGGGGATGAGCAGAGAGTCCTCGCCCTGCTATATCAATGAGCAGCAAAGTACCATGAAGCTTGTAGAGGCTGATTCCAGTAGCAAAGCTGGCTTGAATTCCAGTCTACATCAGAAATAAATTCCAGCTACAACAGTACTGTACTACAAAAGTGCAGTAGTTGATAAGTGGCTTATTATCTAACAATACCTGCCCATTGCAGTTGAAAAAGCAGCTCTTTTGCAGATGAGTGTCCAAACGGAAGGCATCTGTTTTGTAGCTCAAAAGGTATCTCTGGCACAGGTGAGGTGCCTTCCTCCTCCTGCTTCTCACATATATTATATCATCATCATCATCATCATCATCATCATCATCATCATCATCATCATC